CCTAACCCAGAGTCCTGCACACAGTAGGTGGGAGGCCTTTAGGTGGTTGGGACCTTTTAAAAAATTAAGCATTTTATTTTATTTTTTAAAAATTTTTTAAAGAAAAAACTTTCAGAAGTCTATTTTGCCTTAGGAATCACTCAGATAATGGTGTTTATTGCCTTTACCTAGAGCGCAGGGGAGGTGACATCCTGCCTACAGTCAACCTAGGCCTCCATCCTCCCTCCTTGCCTCCCCGACACAAACATTTGCAGGCCTCTCCCCTCTGTGGAGTAGTCAGTGATGGCTACTGTTCTCAGGCACCCACACTGAAGCTTTGATGTATGTGCAGTTCTTGACCAATGACCCATCACTCCTTGGGCGGCAGTGCACTTCCTCATTTCCATTTGAAGGTGAGGCTTGCCTCGGCTTGGTGTTCAGAGCCCTCCCTGCCTGGCTGGCCCCCTTTCTAGCCTCATCTTCCACATCCCCTGAAAGGCCAGACACACAACTTAGTGCCTCCCAGGCTTCCATGCTGCCCTACCACCTGGCATCCCTTTTCCCTCTCCATCCCATCTCCTCCTACCTCTCCCAACACCCAGTCAACTTTTCCTCCTGTCAAAGCCCTGCTGGCCTTCAATGCTCAACTCCTGTCACCTCCTCTGGGAAGCCTTCCTTGATGCTTCGTCAAACCATGTTGGAGTCTGTGGCTTCATCCCCATTCTCGGATGGCATCTCATTCACACGTCTGTTATAACCCTTGGTGCCCAGTGCAGTCTCTGAGCTATCAAATTCTGCCCTACCCCACCCCCAGCCTGTGCCTGAGGCAAGGTGGGTGCTCAGGGAGCATCTGTTGGGTCTGGGTGGGCAGGGATGGGGAAGCAGACAGATAGGGGCAGGAGAATCGAGTGCCTGTGCGGACACTAGGAAGAAGGCTTTGTGCGGGTGTTGGAGAAAGAGTTGCCTACCACCTCATGGTGGCTGTGTCATCCTGCAGCTCCCGAGACCTGCCTGGGTGGTGCCCCCTGAAGTTGGGGAGTATCTGGCAGCCAAAGAGCTGAGGGCGGAGTAGAGCCCACTGCCTCTACTTGAGGGCTGTCTCCAAAAGTTCTGCAGCAGCCAGCGCCCACCCCCTCACGCACCCATCCGCTGACCTCGATCTTCAACCAGAGCCCTTCTCCCCACTCATGCTTGCTGACTCTTCTCTCAAGCCCAGGAGCTGGACCCTCAGCACCTCTGTCTCCCTGTCCTTTTGGGTCCCCTTTGGCTTTTGCATTTCCATCCTATATCCCCACTTAATATCTTGCCCCGGTAACATGATAAGGGTGTTAGAGCCGACCTACTAGAAGTGTCTGTCCTGGAAGGTGTGGAGATGGAGCTGCCACCTCCACACCCTAGCCCACGTGTGGATCCTTCTCTCCAATTAGGCAAAGAAAATGACGGATCCCTAGTGCATGCGGGAACTCAAAGGGCTGCTGGCTTCAAGCCTGTACCATGTTCATCTTTGCCCACTTAATGCAGGCCCCCGATTCCAATCACAGTGGCTGCACACTGGTGCTGAGTCTCTGATGTAGCTGTCTCTTAGTCTCCTTGATGAGCTCGGATGCCTAATGCCTTGACCAGGCTTGAAGAGAGCTAGTGCTCTGGGAGTGCAGGGGTCTGGGGAATTGAGTTTTCTGGCTAGTGGAAGGTGTCACAGGGAACATTTTGGTGTTCATCTTACCGATGAAACTCTGTGGGTTCGCACAATTTCTCCATCTTGGGTGGTGGCTGGTCTGGGAGGGTCTCGGGTGAGCATTATAGATCACTCTCCACAGCCCCAGAAGCAGAGGAGTTGGAGGAGTTGGACTCAATCTTCAGGTTTTTTTTTTTTTTTTAAATCCCTAGTAGTAATTCTTTGTTTAGGCTTTTTCGAAAAGTTTAGGCAGTCCCTGGATTATGAACGTCCGGCTTACGTACAACCCATAGTTACAAACCAACTCCTGTAAAGCCTATTATATTGAATATTCAAGGTACGTATAATGGTTTGTAATAACAGACGGGCACAACTTTGCCATGCACATTAAAACATTATTATTATTATTACTGGATTATTATGTTAAAGATGTTTTAGTGTATCTGAAAGTGTTTAATTTTTTTTGCATAGAAAGATATGCTATATACTAAGACAAACATTTGTCTAACTGATGTTAGATATGAACCATACCTATTAGATATGAACCATACCTAACTGTTCTGATTTATGTACAAATTCGACTTAAAGACAGACTTAGGAACAGCACTCGTTCGTAATCCAGGGACTGCCTGTATTACTGAGATGATGACAGAAGGGGTATCACATCACTGAGAGTTCTGGTTAGTTGTTAGCTGTCGCCGAGTCAGCCCTTGACTCCTGGTGACCCCATGCACAACAGGATCTGACCGTTGTGATCCATAAGATTTTCGCTGGCTGAGTTTTGGAAATAGTCCACCTTAGTCCGGAAGCTCTGCTGAAACCTGTTCAGCATCATAGCAACATGCAAGCTTCCGATAAGAGATGGGTGGTGGCTGCGCTGAGGTGCACTGGCTGGGAATCAAACCCAGGTCTACCGCGTGGAAGGCGAGAATTCTACCACTAAACCACTGCCCCCTCTAGTTAGTTAAACTTGGTTAATCCAGGTTTTCTGATAGCATTGCTGTGAGATGGTGCAGCAACTCCTAGGTCTGGTGTGATCATTAGTGCGAGTACGCTTCCTCTCTTCAGCCTTTCACACAACCTCAGCGGTGCAGATAAGGTTGCAGGCATGTGATGTGACGCAGCATGTTCGTGATAGTCCTGGGACTCGGACCCAGGCCTTTGGCTCCCTGTCCAGTGCTCTCCCCGTGCTGTAGCCTGGCCCTTCTCAGTGATGCCCAGGAGGGGGACACAGGTCACAATTGGGCCTGTCAGCTGGAGGCTCAGAGCCAGGACCTTCTGTGGGAGGTACATCAGATAGGCGGGGGTCCTAATCACATTCTTCTCCGTCCTCACAGAATCCAGCCTTGCTCCCCAACCCCCTGGCCTCCGGCTGCTTGCCAAGGTTATGCCCCCTGTCCTTTGGTGAAGGAGTTGAGTTTGACCCCTTACCACCGATGGAAGTAAGGTAAATATAGCAGACCCTGATTTCATTTTTTTTTTATTCCAGCAATTAATGCTTGTTGTAAAAATAAAATAAAGTTAGTTAATTGCAAAAGTGTGCCAAAGACTATTAATAGCTTGGTGAGTATGCTTTCAGATTTTTTTCTTTTGGTTCCTTGCCCATTTAATTTTTTGGTTGCCTTTTTTAAATTAAAATTGGGTTCCGTTTTTTCTTGAGGTTTTGAACGTTGTTTTTTTCTCTTTACATATCATAGCCATCGGGTATTTAAAATTTGTTAAAAATTAATTCCAGAAGCTGCTCCCCGCCAGCTGTATCCCCACCCACCTCAAGGTGCTGTGACCTAGTTTCAGGTTAGAGTTTCACTCGGCAAGTAACATTCTTCCTTTGGGAACTTATCTTATCAAGGATTTTTGTTGTTGTCTGCTGTCCAGTCAATTCCCACTCGCAGTGACTCCGTATGTTACCTGGGGGCAAAGATTCATGAAGAGGCTTATTTAAAGATTCTTTAGAGAAAGGAATTCCATGTTTTGTAACTGGTGATTTTATAGCTGGAGTTCCAGTTGCAGTGACACAAAGGACCCTTTGACATGGAACAAAGAGAGGTTCAGCAGCCTGGAGGTGAGCAGTTTAGCCTTTTATTCCTGTGGAGCTTGTATTTTGAACCAAATGGGGACATGACTTCATGACATTAACTTCAGCCTGCCTCTTACCTATTTGCCCAAGGAGAATAGAAGTTTACATCTGACTCAGGGAAAAGAGTGGCGATCATTACTCACCTGTCCGGTCCGTAGAGGCTAGCGAGGGACAGTGCTGTTAAATGAGTCTATATTTATGATACTCATACATATTTAAGTATCCATGAAGCTGCAATAACGATGTGGTAAAATGCATTAATGCTTTAATTTCCATAAAAAAAATTAACTCCCAAATTGCCAAAAAAAAAAAAAAAATCAAACCAGTTGTGGTCAAGTCAATTCCAACTCATGGCAACCCCATGTGTGTCGGATTTGGGCTGTGCACCATAGTTTTCAATGGCTATGACCTTTCAGAAGCAGATCACCAGGACTTTCTTCCGAGCTACCTCTCAGAAGACTCAGACTGCCAACCTTTTGGTTAGGAGCTGAGCACCTGTTTGTGCCACCCAGAAATGCTTCAAATTGCCAAATTATAGACTTAAAAAAAGAAGGTGGCTGCTGAGGAAGATGGATGTTAATTTATTTTATGGAAATCAGGATTGTAATTGGCTTTGGTTGATACAGCGAGATCCCTGAGGCCCTAGGTTTGCGGGATCTCCAAACCATAGACCAAAGTGGGCCGAATACTGGTAAGTGGTAGAGCTGTGCTTTCGGAGCTAGCGTTCAGGTTCCCACTGCTTTCGTCCTCTTATTGAAGAGCTGACCGATCCCTTGAGAGGACAGAGAAACTGCTCCCCGCTAGTGGAGCAGTAGAATCCACCCCATCCCATATAATAATTACCACTGACAGCACTTGCTAGGTGTTAGCATCCTGCATGGTTATTACGGGACACCCGCTACAGAAACAGGAAACTGAGGCTCAGAAAAGTTAAGTAACCTGGTCAAGGTTTCATAGCTTAAACAGGTGGGAATAGACCCCAAGGGTCATGCCTGCAGTAAGAAACAGTGGGTGCAGGGCCAAACTTTGGAATCCTACAGACCTGGGTTCAAATCCCAGCTGTACTAACTAGCACTGTGAATTTAACCTGTACACCTCGGTTTCCTCTCCCAGGGTTCTTAGGAAGATTAAATTACATCTCATAAACAAAGTAAGTGCTTAGGATAGTGCTTAGCACATGGTGCTCCACAGAGTCTAGGCTGCTTCTCGCTGGAGTAGCCACGTCTCAGCAATTGTGCCCCTCGAGAAGGTTCAGGGTCACAGGAGGGGACCCCTCTGCCCCCAGCTCAGAGGAGCGACTTCATGGTGCCTTATGTCTATGGTGCAGGTACACTTCCTCAGTCAAGTACGACTCCGAGCGGCACTTCATCAACGATATCCACATGCCCCTGGGCCTGGCCGTGGCCTCCTGCAGCCAGACGGTCACCTGTGTCCCCAATTGCACATGGCGCAACTACAGGGCCGAGGTGCGCTTCGAGCCCCGCCACAAGCCCGCACGCTTCCTCAGCACCACCATCGTCTACCCCAAGTACCCCAAGACCGTCTATACCACCACCCTGGATTACAACTGTCGGAAGACGCTGAGGAGGTTTCTGTCCAGCGTGGAGCTCGAAGCCACCGAGTTCCTGGGTGGCGATTGCCTCTCGGATGAATGCTGACTCGAGCAGGCAGGGCTGGGTTGGACCAGCTCTTCCGCTGCCCTGGTCCCCAGACTACCCTGCTCAAGTCTGGCACTGCCGCCCTTATGTGTCCTTCCGGCCCCAGAGGAGTCTAGCCTGGACATACCGCTAAGCCCAGCCTGAGGAAGCAACAAGATGTCATTGCGTCTTGTCGTTATTGAAGAAATTTGTTTTGTTTTTTACATTTTTTAAATCGTTCTTAAGAGGAGTATATTTCCTGTTTGCTGCTGCATATTTTCCCCCCAAGTCTCAATTTGGTGAGAAAATAAAAGGAAACGAGAAGCAAAAAGAAAATGGCCAAAAATTGAAACAGGGGTCCCTGTGGAGGGCTCCCATCTGTCCTGAAAGCAGAATCGATTGCTCTTCCTCCATTGTCTGTTTGTCTGAGGAAGAGTGTGGAAGCAGTCTCTGGGATGATGGAAAAGTTGAGTTTTCAGAAATTCCAGCCATGGGAGTCTTCACTGCTACAAAAGCAGAGCTCATTCAGTAAGTCGTGACACCCATATGGGTTCAATCTACGGAGAGCTGAGTTCCATTCCATTTTTCATTTCCATTTCCATTTGTATTTCCTGTCAACCAAAACTCTTGGAGTTCTCTAAATCGTTTTCATGATATTGAAAACCCCCAAACTGTGATATAAGATGCTTGGGAAAAAAAAAACAAAAACAGAAAATGTTCACTTTCTTCTTGCCTGCTTTAGGGACGTTAGATTAACGGGCTGCTGAGTTCGGAAGCAGTGGCTTTGGTTCCGGTTCTTGCCACCGGTTGGTCCCGAGGCACAGGCTCTGGCAAAATGCCTTGCATCCTTGGCATCTGTTGAACATCTCCACAGGCTTGTGTAACTCCCCTGATACGTATTTTAGGGTTTTCAAATACTTTCCTATTTTTCATAAGGCAAAACATAGCAAAGGGCCCTTCTGAGAGATAATGGCATTTTGAAAGAATGCTTTGGAAGAATGCTTTTGGAAGTCCACGAGGGGGATTTCACTTGACTCACAGTGGGAGCCCACGGCCACACATAAGACTCGATGCCACTGGGAGGAGGTGGCTGGAGATGTTTCTGGTGATCTGGTTCATCATGCTAGGTGTCCCTCTCCAGGGACGGGAGATTGACTCACTGTAAGGGCTCTGTGTCAAAACTGCAGAGAAATCCTGCCAGTGCCTTAGGTCTGATCCAAAAAGCAAGGAAATCACTGCTTGGGCTAAGCAAAGTTAAATTCAGAACGGGATAATGTCACAATTCAAACTCCAAAACCTGGACACTGTAGGCATGGTATAAAGGTCTCTTAAATTTTCGTTTTAGTTTAAGTGACAGTCACGGAGTTGGGTGCTAACTGAAGATGTTCCCAGAGAAGCTTTGCAGATTCAGCTGAACCGGCTGAGGATGCGGGGACAGCCACTGGTCCAGGAGGGTTCAGCCAGACCCTCTCACGACCTGCCTCACACGACCATCCCACCCTACTCCCAGCCCTTACTTCTTCCTCCTGCCAATCCCTGTGGCTTTTGAGTAACGAAAGTGGCAGGTGGCTTTTTTCTTCCAAGTATTGGAAAGAATAAACCATGGATATTTCCATCAACTACATCTAAATTGACACAGTGGCTGCAACAATGGGCTCAAACACAGCAACGATTAATGGGAGGTACAGGACTGGCAGCGTTTCGTTCTATTGTATGTAGAGTCGCTACTCAACGGCACCTAACAACAACAACAGCATGTCTAAATCACGTCAAGTGCTCAAGGGTTTCCGAGCTCTATGAACTCAGACTCCGGGGGTAATGCCGGGGCCCTCTGGATGGCTCCCAGCTGTCCTGAAAGCAGAATTGATAGCTCTCTGGGCATCCTGGAGCCACAGGAGGGATTTTTGTTACAGTCAGAGTAGGTGTGATGATAATCGCCCTCATTTAAAGTCGTTGGAGGCCTATGGAGTCAAATTGTCTGGTGTCCTCTTCAGACCTCGTAGTGTTTAGTCTTTGTGCTCCTAACTGATCGGGCACATCCCCTTGGACAGGAGCCTGCAGTTGGCGTAATGGTCCCGAGTTTGCCAGGGTGAAGCCAGGAGGGCACTTTGGGACTCAGTAGTCTCCTCCCTCAGCATGCAGAACAACAAACGCCTCCTGCCTTTGGAAGAGCAAATGACATAGAATATATTTCTAAAAACTGATTTTTCTATCTGGTTTCATAATCTTGCCATTTAAGTGGTAAATGTAATTTTTAAATTGTGTTAAGAGAATCCCCAAGGCTTTGTTTGCTCTGACCAAATGGAAGCATTTGAATGAGTTCAGAATGATATCGAGGGCAGCACGGCAGGAGTCCCTGGGAGTGCAAAAGGTTAAGCACTTTGCAACTAACCAAAAGGTTGGCAGCTGGAATCCATCCAGAGGTGCCTCGGAAGAAAGACCTGGTGATCTACTTCCGAAAAATCAGCCATCGAAAACCCTATGGAGCACAGTTCTACTCTAACACACATGGGGTCACCATGAGTCAGACTTGATGGCAACTTTTTTTTTTTTTTTTATGGCAGGAGAGAGATGTGTGGGAGAATATGCTTTTTAACACAGCAACAATTTGAGATGTCCTTATGATCATTTTTTGGATTAATGAAGTTGTGTTAAGTTTGGGCAAATAATTCTAGGTGTAGAGAGAACCTGAAATATATCAGTGAAGTAAGTAGGAGTGAGTGATTGTGAACGTGTAATGGGAATGGAGAAGCAGGTTTTACTAAGTTATTCTCTAGGGAGCCAACTGTAGTTCTTTCTCGTCTTTTTTTTTCCCCTCCAAATCTGCTTTGCTGAAAGTTGCAGAAAAGCAAGACATAATGGAACGCTTTAGGACAGATGTGGATCAAGTGATGGAAACCAGCAAGATATTTGTGGTGGTCTGCAGTGACTTTTTAAAATTCACTGGTTAAAAACAAACATTCCTAAGTGTGTCTGGGAGATATGGTTTATGTGTTAATTCAAAAGCTTTCTTCTCAGTCTTTTAAATTATGTTTTTCCTGTGATGAGGATGATTTGCATTTTAAAAGCTATTTTCTTTTCGAATCGCAGACCTTTTTTTAAAAAAACTTGATTTGAATGAGTATATTTTCATTTGACACGCTTCCTATTTCTAACCTTAGGAAATCCAGAATCTTATTTGACAAAAACCATTGTTTAAATTCCTCTTTGACACCTGTCCCACTCCATTTCACTTTGTGACTTCTTCATTTAACAATAAATTATCTCAAAATAAAACTTAAGAGATGTTTCTCTCTTTTTTAAAGTAATATTATGTTTGGTCAAGAATAATGAGAAAAATAGCTCCTCAAACTGGCATATGTGTTCCCCCACGGGTACAAGAAGACTTTCCAAGGAATATGTGGGCACGGATATTTTTCAGGGAATTTATTCACAGATTTATGTATACGCTTTCTAAAATTGATCTGCCTTGAAGATGCGCCTGTGAGTGGAGATGTCAGACCTGTTGTCCTTTTTCCACCTCCCCTTTCAAATTGCCTTTTCCTCACTTTACAGAGAAAATCCATGTTTCAGTCTAGCCCATCCTTAATTTGACTGTGGTACTTTGTTCTGGGCTGGAAAAACCTCCAAGCACCAGCAAAAGGGACAGTTAGAAACACTGGTATCTGGCACCATGAGCCCCCACTATAGGCCTTCAGGTCACTTGGTGTCCTGCACATAATTGTGTTAAGGGTGAAATATGGCGGTAGAAGCAAGGTTGGCCAGTGTTGGGATTTGCTGAATTCCAGTATCTGTAGGGTGAGGCAGTGGGTGTGAAGTACCTTTTCATTTAACAGTCACACCTCTTCAATCTCAAATAATTGTTTTCCTTGGGGGAAAGTCCCTTGGGACAAAGCAAAGAGGGTCCATAAGAAATATCAGAAGTGGAGACACTTTATTTCATTCAAGCCTCAAATTAATGGCAAGGCTTTGTCTGTCTGTCTTTGAGTTATCTGTCTTTTTGAGTTATGACTCAGAAATAAATAGGCCCCAAGAATGCATATTATCATTGCCATGAATTAAAAGAAGTGTGTCTGCTTCTAATAGAAATTAAGGCTCATTGGGCTGATTGGTATGACAACGAGGGCTGGCTTTGCCCATTAGGTTTATACGGTGTAAATTTTCCATAAAATGATGAGTTAATCAGCAGTCCTAAGGATTTGGTGGGAAAATATTTAAAGCAATAGGATTAAATCATCTTATATTGTATACATATTTATATACATAGAGAGGCAAAGTTGTATTGGAATTAACAGTATTTCAGTTTCCCATCTTTTCTATATCAGATTAAGCTGGTACACCCAAGGGAAAAAATAATAAGTATAATTAATAGTAATATTATAAGTCTTAGAAAGCCTATTTGGTATACTTTACAAAAATTTAAAAAACTGATGACTTTATTAATTAGGTAACAAATCCTATTGCAAGGAATGCCTCTTTTCAAAGTTAAATTCCATGATTTTATTTTAGAATATAACCACTATCAAGTGGTTTGTTTATATAGCTATCTCCCAAAGTGTTTCCTGTGGAATACAAAATCCGGTTCTTGGATCGAATAAGTGTGGGGAAATGAAAAGTTAGAAGATGCTGAGTATGTTTATTGCAGGGCTTCTTGGAACCCTTGCATTAACCAGCTTTTGTTGCATAACAAATCACCACAAACTCACAGTGATACAGCAGGAAGCATTTACTTCTTGCTTACAGGTCTATGGGGCAGCTGGGGCAGCTCTGCTCCAGGCTGTGTGTTGAGTTCAGGTTGGCTGCACTTGTCTCTGAAGCAGGCTAGAGAGGTTACCTGGGACATGTTCTTCTCATGGCAGAGGTCAAAACTCCCAGAGGAGCAAGTAGAAACACACAATACCTCTCCACATCTGTACTAGGACCTGGCACCCTGCTATTTCCACCCACATTCCATCAGCCAAAGCATGGAGCAGGGAACCATACTTCTGTCGAGGTGGGAAGAAGGAATGGATATTCGCCGTACAGTAACCTACCACTGGAGCCCTGGTGGAACAGTGGTTAAGAGCTACAGCTGCTAACCAAAAGTTTGGCAGTTTGAATCTACCAGCCACTCCTTGGAAACCCTATGGGCAGTTCTACTCTGTTGTATAGGGTCACTATGACTTGGAATAGACTTGACAGCGACTGTGGTTTTTGGTTTTAATCTGCCATAGCCTTTAGTATGGTAATGTGCGTTCAGAATCGTCCAAAGGAGAGATCTAGTATGTAGCATTTTCCAAACTCATTGGACCATCGGACTCATGAGAATTTCAGACTAATGTCTTTTGGAACGCACTTTAAGAAATGCTGTTTACGTGGACAATATTCAAGAGTTCAGACAGAAAATCCGAGACCATTCTAGATATTTCCAGCAGAGGGGATTTAACACAGAGTTCATCGCACAGATGTTGGAAGGCTAAGAGAGCAGAAAGGGGACACTGATGTAACCCAGATTTTCGGTAACTGCAAGAAGCAGCTCTCACCCCTGTGCTCCTCTTAAGACAGTTTTCACCTTAAGAAGCTAGAAAATGGTGAGAAAATTAAACCCAAAGTAAGAGGAAGGAAGGAAATAATAAAGAGCAGAAGTGGATGAAATGAAAAACAGGCACATAATTGAGAAAATTTAAAAACCAAAAATTTGGTGCTTTGAAACTATCTTAAAAATGGATAAACCTTCACTGGATTAATGAAGAAATACACAGAAAACACAAGTTACCAATATTCTGATTGAATAGAGATCCTGCATTGAATAGTGAGCCTAGAGGACAGAGTAGAACTGCCCCGTAGGGTTTCCAAGGAGCAGCTGGTGGATTTAAACAGCTGAACTTTTGGTTAACAGCTGAATGCTTTTAACCACTGCGCCACCAGGGCTCCAGAGATTGAATAAGCCACACACACACACACACAAAAAAAAAAACCCATTGCCGTAAAGTCGATGCTGATTCATAGTGACCCTGTAGAGATCCTAAATTTGGTAAATTAGATAAAACGGGAAAGTTCCTTTAAAAAACTCATGTGACCAAACTGGCACAAAATGAAACTGAAAATCTGGGTAATAAGTATAATAATCATATCTTGAAATGACTGCTGTATGTGTAATATATATCATATATAATATATACACGATATAATGATAAATATATGATTTAATGAATATATATATATTCATTTACTGGTGAAGTCTATCAAACATTCAAGGAAGATGTAATACCAATTTTACACAAACTCATTCAGAGAACAGAGGAAGAAGGAACACTTTCCAACTTGTTCTATGAGGTCAGCATTACTATAATTCCAAAACCTGACACAGGCATTATAAGAAAACCATAGAACAATATCATTCATAAACATAGATGGAAAAGTCCTTAACAAAAACAAAACCGAAAAACCCGTTGCCATTGAGTTGATTCCGACTCCTAGCGACCCTATAGACACAGTAGAACTGCCCCATAGGGTTTCCAAGGCTGTAATCTTTACAGAAGCAGACTGCCACATCTTTCTCCTATGGAGAGGCTGGTAGGTTCAAACCGCGACCTTTTGGTTAGCAGCCGAGTGATTAACCACTGCACCATCAGGACTCTTAACAAAAGAAGCAAATCAAATTCAGTACTATATAAAAAAAGGATACTGCATCATGACTAAGTGATATTTAGCCCAGGAATGCAGGGTTGCTTTAACATTTGAAAATCCGTCAATGTAATTCACCATACTGACTAAAAAAAAAAAAAGTACAATCAGCATCAATTGTTCCAACCCACCTGGAGCAAAGGAGAATGAAGAACATCAAAGCCACAAGGCAACTATTAGCCCAAGAGACAGAAAGGGCCACATAAACCAGAGACTGCATCAGCCTGAGACCAGAAGAACTAGATGGTGCCCGGCTACCACCAATGACCGCCCTGACTGGGAACACAACAACAGAGAGTCCCTGATGGGGCAGGAGAAAAGTGGGGTGCAGAACTCAAATTCTAGTAAAAAGACCAGACTTAATGGTCTGACTAAGACTGGAGGAATCTCAGAAAGCCTGACCCCTGGACTATCTTATCAACTCAGAACTAAAACCATTCCTGAGGCCAACTCTTCAGACAAAGATTAGACTGGATTATGGGACATAAAATGATACTCGTGAAGAGTGTAGCTCAAGTAGATCCATGAGACTAAATGGGCAGCTCCTGTCCAGAGGTGAGATGAGAAGGCAGAGAGGGTCAGGAGCTGGTTGAATGGACATGGGAAATCCAGGGT